CACAGCCTCCGGAAATTAGGCAGAGCCCTCCAGAGCTTTTGTATTCCTTCCTCGTTGCGTCGTTGAAATTCGACGACTTGGGAAAGGAGGAAAGGGAGGGAAGATTTTTTCTTTTTTTTTTTTTTTTTTCTTCCCTTTTCAAGAGCATATTCTCCTCTTTTTTCCTTACTTACTTTCTCGGGGGAGGAGGAGTACTTAGAAGGGGAAAAATTAGCAGAGAATAGTGTTCTCGAGATAGTGTTCCGCCCTCGGGCGCAAGAAGGATCGGGAACTGATTAAAGAACCTTGTGATTCATCGAGCTCGCGTTTTTCCGTTCAACTTTGAGAAACTTTGTTTCATTTTGCAACGTCCGAGGGCGAATGCGAAAAGTCTCGAGTCTAAAATTGAGAACGATCCTTTGTTTAGTCCCGAACAATTTCTTCTTCATCTTTGGCGAATCCTCCTTTGCTCGAACTCGAAACGAATTTCGAGATCCCTCTTCTTCCGTTTTTCTTCCCGTTAATCGTGCTAGCTGAATCGTCGATTTGGGGAGTTGGCCTCTGGAGATCTCGAAGCTGCCGGACGAGCATTAACTCCACCGAGGAAGGGAGAAATTATTCCACGGAAGAAGGCCGCGGGCGAAGCGTCTGGCTGCGGTGTACGCGGGCGGAATTAACGATCATCGCGAAAATCGAAAATATTAACTGGACGTGACAGCGGTAGCCTCCGGCCTCCGTGGTGGAGCAGGGCCTGATTGATCGGACCACCCCTTCGCGTGTCAAAAAAATAATTTTCCCCCTTTCAAAATCTAATATCTGCCTGGTCAAATATTCGTCGAACGACGAATTGTTCGAAGCGACCTTAATAGCCGGTCTAATCGCACGATACATCCCCGAGTGGATTCAGAAGGAAGCGGGGGGGATGCTTTGGGGAAGCGAACCGCAGCTGTTGCCGAATTCGCGGCGAGTTTCTCGGCCCGATCCTAAATTTTCCCGTGCGAAACGCCGCTGTCCCAAACGCGTTTCCAAATTAAACTCATAAAACGTGGAGGGCGGGACCGACAACAAGTGTGCTGGTAGGTGGAAATTATACCTCGCGATATCAACCGTAAATTGCGGGAACACGATTCTGCGGATTCTTGATAACGAGGCCGCGAGTACTCTACCCGCGTTTAATTACGGGCCACCAGTTAAGTTATTCTCCCGAAAGTTGGAAAGGAGCTCGACCACCACGATACCCTTCCTCCCTTTGGAATGTTTTCAATACCGTTACAGGATTGATATACTCGGGCCTTTCGAAAGCTTCTTAAACCGTTGGAATCCGGGGGATCCACGCCGTACGGCATCGACCAATCCGAACTTTAATTAAACGTCCTCGCCGGAAACGTTTCCCTTCGCCGACACCAGTCTTGGAGCGTTTGCGCATACCGCGCAATTTCCGCCGCGACGGTGTCGGGCCCGCGCGCATGATTAAAATAATAAATTGCGGGAGGGAGGGCCGCGTTTTCGGGGGGGGGGAATTAGCGGCGGGCGCATGGTCGACACGGGGGCAAACCTCGTGGCTCGACGACCCGCAAACGACGATACTTTGAATTATAAATGGCGACGACGAGGGCGTTGCCATTTGCTTCGATCTAAGGAAATTCTTGGGGAGGGAAGATTTCAGCTACGTTCCTTGGCCACGGGCCAATTCGATCTCACGCTCCGCCTCGTTCTCTCAACTGGAATTGCGCTATTAGATTAGGACGAAAAAATCGTCGTCCCTGCGACGACGCTTGGATTTTAGAGGATGGGGAGGGACAAATCGGTTATCTCGATCGAAAACGTACTTCTCCTCCTCCTCCTTACGCGAAACTATCTCTACCTTCCTTTTAAACATCCTTTTATACCCTCGAATTTACAATTCGATCTAGATAATAAACCGCGTAAACCGTTATCGTCCAGATGAAACGTTTCCAAGATCCTCTTCTTAATTTCCCATTCGTATGGAACGAATCGTTCGAACGGCTTATAGTCTCGGCGAAGAGTCTATACGGGATCATAGACGAGGATCACCGAGGATACCTCTTCGAGCACAGCGACATCTCTCCGACTTCACCCCTGGAGAAAGTTTCCATCGTCAGATTCGCCAGATGCGTTTCGCGACCAACCCCTTTCCTTCCCCGAAACCACCCGATTAGAGTCCAGTTGATGGGGAGAGAAGAAGGGAGAGCCTTTCTCGACTTTCACTCGCGTGTCTCGCATGTCAACTCGCAACACCTTTCCTTCCAGGAAAAATAACTTTATGCGGAACAAACTCTTCTCGTTCCCTCTCGTTCCCCCTCCTTTTTCGAGAATAGACTCGAGCCGGCGAAGGGAAGAGCGGAAAAACGGAAAGTTTCGCGGAGATGGATATCCGACCGTTTCGGATACGCGGATCGTTTATCTCGATGTATAGCGAGCCAACTTCAGATAAGGATGACGAACGATCGGGGCCTCGTGGAACCGACAGGATTATCAATTTTTCCGAGTCAAAAGTTCATCGAATCTCCCTCTTTCCTCCTCCAAATCGATCCTCCTCCTCCTCCTCCTCCTCGAGGATCGTTTTACACGATTTCGACGCGTGTTGGAGAAACGCCGTTATATTCAAAGGGGAAGGGGATTCGCGCGACTCGGCTTGTACAACGAGGCACGCGTGAAAAATGACATCGAGTTGTGAAAAGCGGGCTAAATAAGAAATCGCGTTTCCTCGAGCCCTCCAGAAATAGCCGCGAGTCTCGCGGCGATCATCAATTTCGAGCGTGTCAGCGAGCGGAGCAAAAAAAAAAGGGACGAGGCGCGATCTCGAGAGCGTTCGACTTTCGTTCTCGCGATCCGCGAAACGGTCGCGATAAAGGAGGAAGCCGCAAGATGACGAATGGCGAGGGGCCGGGACAAATTTCGCCTTGGGGGGAGGGGTAGATAACATCCGAAATCATTAGCGAAGCCTCGGCGCAAATTGTTTGGCGAAGACTCGAACCCGGTGCTCTCTCTTTTCCTCGATCGCGTCTCGATCCGGGAGAAGGAGAAGTGATTGATGATGAATCCGCCGGGTACGGAAGGTGGAAGAAGGGGAGGAGGGAGGAACGCGCCCTCTCGGGCGGAGCGTGAATTGATTAAGAGAATACTGTTGATTCTCCTTTGCCGCGCTGGATCGGGGTGGATTGATCGTTCGGAAGGAGGATGACACGGTTTGATCGCGTATTAAGAGCTCCTTGGGTCACCTGTTGAGGGATTATTCGGATTCGGAGCGAATAGAAGCGGTTTCGAATAGACTCGAAAACTGTTGAAGGGAGGATTGGAAGGGTAATTGGAAATCGCTATCTCACGATAGATGTATTTTCCAAGTCTTGGAAATTAATCTTCTGCCCTCTTTTAAAACGAAATTATCGATCTTTGCCACGCTCTCTTTCCACTCTTTTTGAAACATCCGTCAAACACGATGTCGAAACGAATCTGAATAAATGATGGCTAAACCTTTCCTTCCTTTTCAACCAACAATTCCGTAATAGAGATAAATTGCCAACGAAATCGGAATCGCAAATGATTCGATACGACTTTCAAATCGAATAATTCGTACCAAGAATATCGCACCGACGAAGATGAAATTCCCGCGAGGCTCTTGCCTCCCTTTTTTCGCCGGTTATTCGAGCGGAGGCGGGTTGAACAGCCGTGAGACGAAACACGCACCCTCATCCTCTCGCATGCACGCGCCAAATTTCTCAAAGTTATTCGCCCGCGCGGATCCGGTTCAGATATGCTTCGAGCAGCGGAAAATCCGCCGCCTTTCGGGAGAACGGCTAATCCGTGGAGAGAAATTAGGTCTGACGTTCCGATCGGGAACACGAGCCTCTTCTCCGCCTCCCTTGCCTTTCGTTCGGACAGATGTTCTCGCAATGCCCCATTTTCCCGATTTTAACGCAAGTTTTTCGTTGTTGTTGTCGTAGCACAATCGGTATTGTGCAGGGTGGAGGCGAACAATGGAGGCGACACGCTCGCCGATCGATAAGCCGATCATAGGAGGATTGAAACGAACGTCCCCCCTTTTTCGCCAGGAATTTCGTTATCAAACGAAACGGCGTTCCAAATCCCTGCGAGCGAATGGTACTGCGATTTCACTGGCTGGAATCCAAGGGCAAACAGCTGCCGCATCGTCCTTCCTTTCCTATTTTTACATCAGCGCAATTTCCACGTTTTTTACGGGCGATCGATCGAACTGATCGAGGGTCGACTACTTGTCGCAACCGAGGCGAATGATCGAAACAGCCTTGCACACCGCTCTATTGTCTCACAATCGAACTTCTTCCTTGCCAATTCCAATTCACCATTTCACTCGCGATTCACTTCAAATTTTCTTGTTTCACGAATAAATAAATCGAGAGAAAGGAATCGTTAGTTTGCTCGTTCAACCATTTTTCTCGATAATTTTCATCGATGAAAAGACGGGATTCGTCGAAACGAGCGAAATAAAATAACGTTACGAACGAAACATCGGTGGACGCGAAATTAAGACTAACCCCGCCGGGTAAAAGTGAAATGGTACCTGCCAGTACGCGGGATCGCGTGCGACGTCAGTTGTTCTCGCTAATATTCCGTGCACATCCCGTGACAATAGGAGGGCAAGGAGTATAGGGGTCGTCGAAAAGACACAATCAGTTAATGCCAGGACGTCGTCGTTCGGTTGGGTTCAGTCGGTGCCTGGTCTCTTGACCTGCTTGCACGACGACGGCCACCACCGGATGGAACGATTGGCATTTTTACCCCCACGCTCCTTTTTCGCGTGGTCACGCCATTCTTTTGCATATTTATATATTACAATCCATCTTTGAAATATGCCAGAATTGCGCCATCCTTGCTCGGTCGCGTCACCAGAGTTACGGAATTGTAAATAAACTTTGTCGAAGAGAGGATATTTATCACGTTTCTCTCTCCAAAGTTTGTATCATAGTTTGTATCTACGGAAAATTTTAATACTAATTTCGTATTTCATTTCTAAAGCAGAAATGGCTAGTCCCGATGGATCGTCGGATTTTCGATTGGAGTACATCGGAGCTTTCGTACAGAAATCGTTGAAATTGAAACCGGAAAAATGGGGGAGATTGCTGCTCACGGAGGAATACAGAAACGCTGTGCACGATTTCCTCGATAATCCTTTGCCGGCTGCGCTTTTCGTCGCTTTGACGCCGAACGCGCAATTGGTGGCTTGCACCTCGTTTCCTATACCGTGTCAAAGGACCAAAGGTTCAACAAAATTTCATATCTTCGTTATCATCAAAGAACTATCAAAGATATTTGACGATCCTAAATTACCATTTACCAGGTATTTACGCGGTGAAGGTGGAGCAGATGCCGTTGCCCAAGGACGAGGAGGCTTGTTCATCGATGCTCATTCTGGGCGATCTGTCCTCTCGGGTCGTCGATCAATTAGCCACTTTGATCGACAATATCTTCGCTCCTCTGTTGAGCAAAGCGGAGAACCACAAGGAACTGCCTGACGTCGCGATTCAGGATATCTGTAGACACGTTCATTCCCTTCGTGGTACCTTGTACCAAGTCAATTCTCTTTTTTCCCTTCTTCGTAAGAGATCTGTAGAGTGTTAATATATATATTCACAACTTTTGATAATCTATTTTCAGAGATCAAAGATTTATGATGGGAATACAAGATTCGGGAGTAAAATAACAAATATGTTAACGCTCTGTGTTTCGATAAGTTTCGAAGAACTTACGAATTTTTCATTTTCAAATACAGGTGAAAGGTCAGGTGAACGGCAGGACCGTCCTCCCAATGCCAGCCGGGATGGAGAAGGTGACGGAAGTGGAGAAGCTGGTGCGAGCGGACGGGCCTCAAGCCGTCGATCCGTATTTGAAGAGCGCGATCGAGGGTGTGGTGATAAAGTGGGCCTACTTGGTGAACGATGTTGTCACTCAGGAATCCAGCGCCGCCTTCGAGAATGGGCAAAATCCGACACCCGATGTCGAACTCGACTACTGGTCTACCAGGCTAGCTAATTTAAGGTAAATACGTTTTTAACATTTCGTGTCAGAAAAATATATATAACGAGTTTCGAGTATTTAAAGAAAAAGAATAAATACATTTTGGGCGTTTGGCGCTAGTGTCGATACAACGTTGCAACGTTGATTCGTGTAAAAAGTTGAAAGAATACACGCTTTATCAGATACATTTACGACCAATTACAAGAGGATCGGGTGAAGAAGATGGCGAACATTCTTGAAACGACGGACAGCGCTTATTTTCCTTGTTTCCGCACCCTGTTCGACAACGTGGTGTCCTCGATGGCCGAGGCGAAGGAGATATCCCTGTATCTGTCTCCGTTGGCCAAATGTTTCAAAGCTGTGGAGGAGGCCGACTTCTCCGAGGCTAAGTCGTTAATGGCCACGCTGATACACTCGGTCGGATTGGCCTGGTCGAAATCCACCTACTATCAAAGTTCCTCCAAAGTGATCATCATGCTTCGACAGATTTGCAACCTGTTGATACAGGAGGCACGCCGTTTCCTCGATCCGACCTCCATCTTCCAGAGCGACGTGGACGAGGCTGTTCAACGCGTGCAGATATGTCGAGGTTCGAATCCTCGCGTGCACGATCCCTTCCTTCCCGTGAAAAACGAAGAAATTTTTTTCGCAGATGTGTTGCAAGAGTTTCGAGGGCAGTTCGAGTCGAGGAAAGACATGCCGGCGATGAAACCGCACGCGCCACCGTGGTCCTTCAATCCGAGCGCTGTTTTCACCCGTTTCGACGCATTTCTCGGACGGTTGAACGATATCGAGTGGTTGTTCAACACCGTGATGGAATTCTCCAAGTTGGAGAAAATAGAAATAGGCGGGATTCAAGGCGGATCTCTGAGCGCGAGGATCGTGAACGTGTACAAGGAGTTCCAGCATCTGTTCGTGTCTTTCACCGTGCGCTCGAACGATGCCCTCGAGCCGGACGACCAATCGTTCACGGAGAACTGTGCCAAGTTCAACGAGTCGATCACGGATCTCGACAGCAAATTGGCGGCCATACTTTGCCAAGCTTTCGACGATTGTGGAAATCTCGAGAGCATATTCAAGGTACGATTCTCGTTGCGCGTGTGAGATGCTCGCCATTCTTCTTTTCCTTTTTCCCCCCGCTTTCTTGCAGTTGATAAATATCGCGGGAACGGTTTTGGACAGGCCGGTGATAAGCAAACAATTCACGAATCGTTACTCCAAGATCTTGGAATTGTTGAACGTCGAGCTGACCGTGGTCGAGGTGTTGTTCAATCGCGGAACCAGGGGCGCTTTGATCGATCTCCCGCCCCTGGCCGCCGCCTTGACGTTCATCAACATGCTCAGGCAACGCGTCGATCTCCCTGTTCAATCTTTCAAGGCTGTTCAACACCCGTGAGTCACGATTTCAAGATTTTAGATTTTTTCGACATACGACACGATTACTCCGATTGCAGAATAGTGAGCAGCGAGGAGGGCCTGCGTGTAGAGAAACGTTACGAAAGATTGATCAAGATCTTCAGCGATAAGGAGACCGAATTGTTCACGGAATGGGCAGCGACCGTACCCGAAACGGTCCACGTCGGCCTGAATCGCAATATTCTGTCCCGCGAGCCGGATTCCACCACGTTGATACTCAACTTCGATCCCGAGCTTCTAGGCGTGTTGAAGGAGGTGAACTACTTGAAGCAAATGTCCCGATCAGACATTCCCGAAGACGCGATAAAGGTGCCTCTCCTCATGTCTCGCGCACTTATTATTCGCGTACAATTCTCTCAGAACAGAAGCAGATAAAAATTTCACTCACTCGTCATCTCTCTCTCTCTCTTTTCCAACGAGGTGTCGGAAAACGCGGAAACGTTCCGCAAGTTTCGCGCGCTGTTGTGCGCCACAGTGTCCTCGTACAACAACATCCGCAGGACGAGCAGGCAGGTTGAGTTTCGGCTGATCGAGGACGAGATAACCGGTATCGATTCGTTGGTGTCTCGCGGGGAGACGGAGCTGAGATGGAACTCGGACGGCGTCCTCGAGTACATCGTCGAGCTGGACGAGCTGGTGGAGGGGTTGTGGGGGCGGATCAAATCTACCCAGACGAACGTGGAGAAGATCAAAGCGGTGCTGGACGCCTGGACGAGGACGCCTCTGATCGAGAGGAAGGACCGTCGTAAGGACGGTTTATTGTCGTTCGACGAGCGGCCAGAGAAAGTATCGAGACGTTACGCCGAGGTGGAGAGGACCGCCGAGCAGATTCATTCGTTGCTCGAGGAGAATAGGCAGCTTTTTCAAGTTTCCGAGGAAATGGAGGAAGCTTGGCAGAGATACGTGGCCTACGTCGATGGGATCGTGATCGAGTCCCTTCGAAGGGCCGTAGGGTGCTCGTTAGGTGATTGTTAGACGCCCTCGATATGCTTGCTGGATTCCTCGTTTCTTTCTCCTTCTTTCCATTTCATGAGTAATCTTGCGATTGTTCGTTGCAACACTGCTGTTTTTATTTATGGAATATTTAGCAGTAGTGGGAAAACGACTTTGAAAAATATAAATAAAGTATCAAAGTATAGTGTGGCATAGTTTTTAAAATAAGATTACTTTAATTACATTTAATACAATTAGGATACTTGGTGGACAATATGGAGACGAATGGGCACACCGAGCCTTTGTTAGAAGCAAAATTGGAGCTCAGGGAACCGGATCTCTATTACGTGCCTTCGTTGGAACCGGATGATCCGGATGGGCTCGATCAGCTGGTATCGGGCCTGTTGAACGACATTATCGGTATGGCCGCGCTGGTGCCAAGGTTGAAAAATAATTCCGTAGGATACGCCGAGGAATTGGAGGAGGATCTGGATATAAGAGGGATGAAAAATGAAGTTATGAGCAACGTTGTAACCGCGATCGAAGAAGCCACGGAATTCTGCAACAATTTCGAAGGTACGAGGAAACGAACGAAGCGAAAGTTTCTTCTACCGTCTTCATTCGTCCGTCCGTTCACGATCCTGTTATTTTATCAGGATACGCCTATCTCTGGTTAGACGATAGGGACACGGTGATGCAACAGTTCCTCGACTACAGCCGACAATTGACGATGGAGGAAATGGAGATGGTGGCCGTGCAGGATCCCAAGGGGCCGACACGGTCACCGCCGAAAATGGAGCAATTCCGCGAGCAAATCGACCTTTACGAGGGCCTCTATCTCGAGATCGAGGAAATGGAAGCGTCGAAAGTGTTTTGCGGCTGGTTCAGGGTAGACCTCAGACCCTTCAGGCACTCGGTGCTGAACATGGTCTGCAAATGGTCGAGCATGTTCAAGAGACATCTGGTCGATCGCGTCACGACCAGCCTCTCGGATTTGGGATCGTTTATAAGGTGTTTTCTCTTTTTTTAAATTATAATAATCGAAGCGTGATAATTTTATAAATTAAACGGAAGAAGGAGCGGAAAAAAAATGATGCTTTTTATTCAGACGAGCGGACGAGGGTTTGCTTCAATCGATTCATCCGGGAGACTATGCCAGGCTCGTCAGTGTGATGGGTTATCTTTTGCAAGTGAAGGAGAGGCAACCGATCACGGACGAGATGTTCCAACCTCTGGAAGAGACGATCGAATTGCTTAAATTTTACGATCAAGATATCCCCGAAGAGGTGAACGTTCTACTCCAAGAATTACCCGAGCAATGGGCCAATACGAAAAAATTGGCGCTTATGGTTAAACAACAAGTAGCACCGTTGCAAGCTGGTACAGACATTCGTACAATTCGTACTCCAACCCTAGTGTTACATTTGATATTTTAAGAAAGAAATGGTGTCCAGGCGAGGTATCCAGGATACGAGGACGAATCTCGGCATTCGACACAACGATAACTCACTACAGGGAGGCGTTTCGACGTTACAATTTCTTCAAATACGAGTGTCAAAATCCTTACGAATTAATGGACGAAAGTCACAAGGAGATTGTAATGTTGGAGCGGCAAATGAAGGATATCCAAGAGTCCGCTTCCCTGTTCGAGGTGATGGTGTCGGAGTTCAAAATGTTGAAACAATGCAGAAAGGAGTTGAAGATGTTGAAGCAACTCTGGGACTACGTGAACATAGTCAGAAGCTGTATAGAAGGATGGAAGACCACACCTTGGAGGAAAATCGACGTGGAGAACATGGACATCGAGTGCAAGAAGTTCGCCAAGGAGATACGAGGTTGGTAGGGATGGTGATGGCGGTTTTTAAACGGAATCAAAATTAAATCGTATCGAAATGATTAGCTCTGGACAAGGAAATGAGATCGTGGGACACTTTCGTATCGTTGGAGGCAACGGTGAAGAATATGCTGACGTCCTTGAGAGCCGTGGCTGAGCTGCAGAACCCGGCCATAAGGGAAAGACATTGGAGACAATTGATGAACAGCACTAAGGTATCGACAAGGTTGAAACACGAAGAATAGAATTTTACGCGATAAAACGATTTTGAAAACGATTCAATAACGATAACTTTTTGTACAACAAAATTGTCTATTTTTTTTTTCCATGAAAATCGTTACACGTTTTTGCGAGAATATTTTTATTAATTTTATTTAAATAAAATTGAAAGAATTTTTAATTAGTCAAAACGATTAAGATTTTTCAATGGAAATGATCACCGAGATATTAGTTAGTTAGTTGCACCGCTGTATATACGCTATCGGTGTTACAGAAATTGGGCAACATGACTCCAGAAATGACCGTAAGTCCACTGTAAATAACGTGCACCTAATTCTATAATATTCGAGCACGAATTAGAACCGATAAATCATCAATTAATATGCAATGCATGCGTCATACATACATTGTCCAATAATAATTTTGTATAATATATTCTCATTGTACGTTTCATCGTATCACTCACTGTATTTATACCTCCATTCGTCAATAAATTCGATCTTGTAATTCGAAAAATGTTTAATTCTTCGCTTATTCATTCTTCGTTCTTTTTTTCTTTTTTTTTTTTTCTTCAAACTCGTTCACTCAACGCTTCGAGTTTTCAACGATAAAAGAAACGTATAGTCAACGAAGAGTGTGCTTAAGGTAAAATTCGTCATGGACGAGTCTACCACATTGGCCGATCTTCTCGAGCTGAATCTGCACGACTGCGAGGAGGAAGTGAAGAACATCGTGGACAAAGCCGTGAAGGAGATGTCAATGGAGAGATATATGAAGGAATTGAACGTCATCTGGTCGAAAATGGAATTCGAGAAGGAGATTCATGCTCGAACCGGCGCCACCTTGATAAGAGCCAGCGAGGAATTGATCGAAACTCTGGAAGAAAACCAGGTACACTTTCCACGACGACGAATTCACTCTTTCTATATCGACACTATCTCCATACAGGTCCAGCTGCAAAATCTTATCACCTCGAAGTTCATCGCCCATTTTCTGGAAGAGGTGTCCAGTTGGCAGCGGAAGTTGAGCATCGCCGATCAAGTGACCACTATCTGGCTCGAAGTGCAACGAACTTGGACGCATCTGGAGAGCATCTTCACCTCGTCCGAGGATATACGTAGGCAACTGCCAACGGATGCCGAGAGATTCGACAAGATCGACAAGGAATTCAAGCAAATGACGGAGGAACTAGCGAGAACGTTGAACGTAGTTGAAGCGACGAACAAAGATGGCCTCGCGTCCTCCCTGGACATCCTCCAAAAGGAATTGGTCCTCTGCGAGAAAGCGTTGGCCGAATACTTGGAGACGAAACGTTTGGCGTTCCCGAGATTCTACTTCGTTTCGTCCAGCGATCTGTTGGATATCCTGTCGAATGGAAATCAGCCCGAGGTGGTGGCCAAGCATCTGACGAAACTGTTCGATTCCATGGCCCGATTGAAATTCGATGACGCGGCTGCTTCCTCGCCGAGGCGCGTATCGGGTGAGTCGATACTAACAAAGTCTTGTAGAGAAGAAATAAAATTGCTTTCTCGAAAATTCTTCGCGTATTTTGAGAGAATTTTACTTTCTTCTTTTCTTTTTTTTT